CGCCGACGCCAACATCACTGACAGCCACGGCACGGAGGGGCTCGCCTGCGGCATGGCTGAGAACTGCACAGGTAAGGTGGCGGTGCTCGGGGGAGCCGGCAGCGTTGGACGGGAGCTGGGTGGTGCGGGGGAGAGGGCCGGGATGGAGGACGGGCAGGGTGTTTTGTCTAGCGTAGCCGCGTGGCATCCACCGAGCTGGGAAGCGGCCAGGACCGGCACGCCACGGCCAAGGACACAGGTGCCAGCGGCTCAGCTGGCGGGGCTCGGACCTGCTGTGGCGGTGGACCAGCTCCGGGATGCTGCCGCCTCCGGGCAGAACCGTAACGCCTGGGGGGGGGTGGGGATTTCTTTGTCCTTGTCACCCCCAGGGAACGTGACGCAGCTGAGGCGGCAGGGTCACTTCTCCAGGTGCCCAGAGGAGTACAAGCACTACTGCATCAGAGGGAGATGCCGCTTCCTCGTGGCCGAGAAGGCACCGGCCTGCGTGTAAGCCGCCGCCGGCGCGGACGCGGTGGCACGGGGTGGGGAGGACGGACACGTCCTCGTGTGTCTCGACTCGTGTGTCACCGACTCGACACGAGCGAGCGGGAGGAGGGAGGCACGGGCACCGTGGCGGTTTTTTGGACACCCCCCCACACACACCTTCTGCCTCCCCTGTGCCGCGGGGCAGGTGCGAGCGAGGCTACACGGGGGCTCGCTGCGAGAGGGTGGACATCTTCTACCTGCGAGGCGACCGGGGCCAGATCGTGATCATCTCCTTGATCGCCGCCATCGTCACCCTCATCGTCCTCATCGTCTGCGCCTGCCTTTGCAGTCAGTACGTTGGGGGACAGGGCGAGGGGCGGGAAGGGAAGGGGCAGCCCTGGATTGGGAGCGAATCCTGCCCACCTCCGCCGGCTTGGGGCAAGTTGAATTTGGGCTGCCCTGTTCAGGTGGGACACGGCCTCTGAGGGTGCCGGGAGGTGCACGGGGCATCGCTTCGGGGCTGGAAACCACGTGCGACCCCATGCAGAGCTTCTGCAAGGTGAAAGCAGAGGGAGGAGGAGGAGCAGCATTGCTGCCATGCCTCATTCTGCCTTT